TACTATTCATGTATAATAACAACAATTCTTGAGTCGTCTGTATATATGTGTAATTTCTATTCATGTAAAATAATAACAATTTGTCACTCATACCAGAGACTAACTGTCTGCTAGTGGTGACAAAACAAGATTTGATATTAGTGACGAAATGGGGTGTATCCACCTAACCATATTGGTGAAATTCCACTTGATGCCACTATACAAAATTGAAGTTGAAACTATGTTTATCTGATGGTTTTGATGTGTTATGAACAAACTTATCCTTCATTTCTGGCACAAATCAATAGTTTCTGAGATAAGCCAACCCCCTCTCAGAATCTAGAGACTTTCTATAAAAATCAAGGTAAAAAGTGTTCAAAATATATAAAAAACCACCGGTAAAACAAAACCCGGTATTAGTTTACTTTAGGACATAGTGCGCCCGAAAGTTATAAACATTTAGATCTCCCTATTCTGAGCATTTTGAACACCATATATAACAGGAGGAAGTGGAAAATAGCGACACAATTGAATTTACAGTAATTCATTTTACATAGTTTTCAGTCTTCGTCTCTGTGAGGAGAAGTTATCGGCGCATCACGCATGCACAATATTGACTGACATCATCCAGTCGTGACCAATGATGTATTGATATCATCAAGCGAATTTTTTCAAAGGAAGCATCCTGGGTACGATTTTAATTTCATTGATCAGTCTGACAATGGCCGTGGTTGAGGTTGGTTGTCATTTGTGCTCATACGATTATTTTAAGTATATTGCCGAGTTTTACGAGAAAGACGATCATTCTATCAAATTCTTACGTATCCCCGGTCCTTCTAATTCTAACTCGGGTATTGTACTTTCGGACATAGCCCACCCCAAGTTTTAAGCTTCTGAAACATTTAGGTTAGTTTAAGCTAGGCCTACGGGGGTCGGGGAGCAGCGCCCCCTGCTAGGTGTTAGGTTAAATGACGTTTTCGTTTCTCCACCCCAAAAAAAAAAAATCCCAGACTCTTCCCCATTATTGTTGTGTGTGTGGCGAGAGCAATTCTGCCCCAAATTAAGGTCAGATTCGTTTAAAAGGTTACAGCCCAGCTTGGCCCATTGCCAACTCAGACCACTTAGGTTAACGAACTCGGGCCAAAACGTAAAATTGTACACTTTTTTGCATGACTGATAAAAGTACAATGATAAAAATCAGCATTGATTGTAAGGGAAGGGAAAATTGATTTGTTATTATTTATCTTTTCATTATATATTATTAATATATGTGGTAGAGGTGATCTTTTTTTCTTTTATATCTTAATTTCATATTTTCTATTTAGTTCACAATTAAGGTCACTTTCCCTGGAGACCTGACAAAGACACCCTCACAAAATATGACGGTTGAGGATAACCTGACCATGAGATTTGAGGTTGACGAGTTCCACAACAATTTAGAGAATGAGTTACTTAATGCACAAAGAGAGAACATACCACACAGAAAACTCAGATCAAATAACTATGACCCCAAATAGATAAATAATTATTGAAAGAATATTATTGGACAAAGGAAGGCTATATGTAGGAGAATAAATCGTGAAGTTTACCTATGAGATTATTATAAGGTATTGGCCGGTAGGGTTAAGACCGATATAAGAAAAACAAAGAGGAATGATGAACTGAAGGTAGCAAGGGTGGCAAAGTCAAACCCAAAGGATTCTATCAAATGTATCAATCTAAAACATGAGACAAGATTGGACCAATACCGGCGAATTAACTGATAACGACAGAGAAATGAGCAATAATCTGAACAGGTATTTTTCACCAGTTTTCACCACTGAAAATTTAAACATGATACCAGAGGCACCAACCGTATACAGAGATAGTGAAGAAAATATATTAAGCGAGATAGAAGTGAAAAGTAACGATTTTAGTAAGCAAATAGACAAGCTAAAGCCTAATAAGTCACCAGGTTCCGATGAGATAATTGCCAGAGTATTAAAGGAATGTAAGGAAGAGTTTAGTATGCCCTTAGCAAAGTTGTTTAATACGTCATTAAAAACATGTGTAGTACCAGAATCCTGGAGGATAGCGAATGTAATACCGATTTTCAGGAAGGGAGATAGATCACTATCCTCTAACTATCGTCCAATCAGTTTAACATCAATTGTAGGCAAATTACTGGAAGCAATAATTTCAAACCCTATTCGAAATCACCTTCCTACTCCACATATCAAGAAGCGCTCAACACACTGACCCTTTCGACTCTCACTGACCATCACCACGACCTCATCTGCAAATTTGGTAAGAAGCTTCTACACCATCCCCGACACCGGCTCCTACTACCACCTGAGATCCCTTGTCCGAGAATTGCTGTTGACACCACAACCGCACATCCAGCCCATCGTTTGCAGAACTGATAAGCTATAAGAACAGCCCAGTCCCAACCATTGTAAAATTATCAATAACATAATAAATCAGTGTACTCACTCCCAGTAAACACTGCTCCTACACTGTCACTATGTTGAAATGAACTGTAGTTTGAGCTTTTCCCCATCTAGTTATTATATGTCTTATTTGTGTCACTTATGTTACTTGTATATTATTTGTAATTCGTAACCCATTCCCCAAATATGTAACTGTATATTTTCAGCCTTCTGGCTGCCAAGCTCTTTCAATAAACCGTTAATTATTATTATTATTATTAAGTTACGAATGTGAATCACGGTTCAATGATAAAGTTCTATGAACAAACTCGTAAAATTCGTCCTTCATACCGATTGAACCCTCGGTATTCACTCAGTCACACTCTTCGTATTTCAGTGAACAAAAAGAGACATAAAACAAATCTCAAACGCATTCCTGAACCTCTAGTCAGCAACTTGTTTGAAGCGTGCAATGTGGACTGAGTTGGTTATTTAAGACGAGTCGAGTTGGAGGTGCACCGTTTAAAACACACCAAAATGCACTGGAAAAACATATTGGTCAATCCCCAGGGAAACATTTCGTAAAGTAAAACCCTAACCTAACTGGGGAACTCCACAGTCATTCGATGTTTTGCGTGTACCGCCAAGTAAGAACATAATATAATGTTAAATATCTCGCTTAAAAGTAATTTGTGCCAGACATGCCACTGAATAAAATGTGTCTTAGAATTGTTAAAACTACTGATTGCAGCTATAAAATTACCGAGATGGCAACAGATGAAATAATATCACCATATTTCTGTTGTACTGTACATGGAAACTCTCATTATAAAAAAGGGTAAAGGTGTAGATAATGGCTACCACCAGAAGGAGTTGGATGATTTTCTTTATATTTTGCGGTACTTATAGTTGTGATTATTTTAAGCATAATAAAAGAAGTGACAACTTTCTACTATGATTTTAATTATTAATTTTTTTATTTACTCCATCCCGCTGCAAAATTCTCCTCCCGACACCATTTTTGTTGTTTACCTTGCTGAATCCCTCTTCAAGAGACGTTTCTTAAATGATGGTGAACGCTTCCATGTATTCCTCCTCCTCATGCTGATTTATATCAACCTCAATATTAAGGTAAGTTGTTAAACACATAAATTACATAAATTAACATGATAATGCATAGAACCTGACTAAACAGACCCAACCTATGGGTATGTTAGGTCAGGTTCTATCAGGTTCTATGCATTGTCGTTTCCATTTTGTGTTTAATATCATATTAGTGTAGAAAATTTTTCTACATATTCGGACAATTCCTTCTGGTGCTAGCAGTTATCTACACCTTTACCTAAAAAAGTGACATTCACTAGACCCTGACCTAACCAACCTACCTAACCTTACTTAACTTCCTAGCCGGGGGACGGACCCCCGTCATATTAAACAAAGTACAGGTACTTAGCCAGTCGGAGCACACTCACGGTAAAATAGCGTCAGAAAGAACTTAGCCGGTCACGGCGAAATATCCACGGTGAATTTTCGATCTTGCACCGGTATTTCTCTCACTGTTATTAATATGTTTTTCATAATGTTTAGACAATTCTAAGACCTTTTTCTTCTGTGATATTTCCGCCGGAAATTAAGGATAACCGCGATATTAATTTTTTCAATATTATTAGATTTGGTCAGTCACAAGTGTTGCCATTTATTGTTTACGCCTCACAGAGAAGGTCTGACCACCCATCACTCCTTACCTCCGTGTTGGCTTCTTAAGCGTCTACAGCACACGTGCGGGGGGTGGTGTGGGAGTTTCTTATTGGCTATAGCGATAGGAGACTTACAATTGGGCAAGAGTTTTTTGTCTTAGCCAATGAACATTGCGTGGGTGCGTCGGGAGCGGAGATTTGATTTTTCAGTACCAGAATTACCAGATATAGCTGAACAGGTGGAAGGAGCTGTGCCGACATTGTGATATCGAGATTATTTTCCGTAAAATGCAGTTTCACCAGAAAAATAGTGTTAGGTTAGGTCAGGTTTGGTTGTGTTGATTTTGTATTTATGTGAACCACTCGGAAAAAAAATACATTTTCGTTAATATTGATGGGTAGGGTGGAGGGAGATCTGAAAAACTATTGATTTCCGGCTGAATGTGAATATCAAATTCTTTCAAAACTCATCAAATAACACCAGAAATACATTTATAATATCCAAACAAAGACCTGTGCATTAAGTGAAAATTGACCTCACCACCAACTGTTTTAGTACAACCCGTCCCAGCCCAAGGTAAGTTTGTGGACGTCTACCTTGTCTAACATTAACTGAATAGATAAGCACTATAATTTAAAACAATAATGGTCAAATTTACATAAGTTTATTAATGACCTTCATACTACATCCACAGTTATCCGTAATCTTAACCATTACATAAATGAAAATTACCGGCCTTGCCTCTCATTCCCTACCTATGAGCTGAACACTCCATTATTTAATTGGGTTTAGGGCGCTTCAGTTCATACTACCTCACACACCAGTCTACTAATTACTTCCCTAAACTTAAAACACAGTGAATTACTTTAATTTGGGTAAGTTATGAGGAAATACCTTAACAAAATAGGGACTCACAAAATGGCCTGGTGTAGGAGTACTATCAGCTGGCTCTCGGCGACACCTATGATGAAATCTTTACAGAGAGCAGCGCCAAGCGTCGCGCCTCAAGCGAGCGACTCACAGTACATTATAACCTAACTAAATATAGAAATATGTCTTTTGATATAATTTATATTAAACGGAATTGCATGATTTTTTATTTTATTTTTGATAATTATCGTAGTTAATATAACAGGCACATTAACATTTTATGGTTACACACGTAAGTTATTCTGGACGTCTATTTTGGACTATCACCAACCCTATGGGTATAGTCGTTGTATATAGCAGAAAATTAGTTTTCAAAGATACTTTAATTTATCCTCTTCGCCACTGGTCGGCTCATTAGCCATTTGGGCTGTCGGTCACGTCTCTATTACGCACTGTAGGGGCGGATCCCAAAGTGGATCCTTGACACGCAAAGTGACCGACTTCCGGATTGGAATTTTGAGTGTATGGTTTTTTTAGTGTTCATTATTTCTCTATTATCTTATCATCTACTTTCTTTTGTTACAAATACAGATTTCAATGTTAGTGTGTGATATAAAAAATAACTAATTTTATTTGATGAATGGGATGCCTCATTAAATGTAATAATTCTGTATCTATACTGTATATTTATTTGTTTATACTGTATCATGCCTGTATGAAAAGTAAAACACCCATACCTGAGTACTTCCAGGAACTCCGGTCTGGTCCTCGTCGGTGATAGGTGAAAGCTCCCCAGGGTCTTCCCAGGTGTACTGCTGTGGGGTATGAGATGTTTGGTTCACACTCAGGATGGATGGAGAAAGGAAACTCACAATGTGCTCTCTATATACATGTTGTATTGGATGTACAATGCAGCTTGGTGCTGGGAAGGCAGCATGGTTACAAGCGTGATGTAGAGAGAGCTGGTTGGTGAGGACGCTCAGAGAAGGACAGCTTGTGGGTCGCCATGCTCGCCAGCGGGAGAGAGGACCGCCAGGCAGGCGGAGGAGCGAGGAAGGCCGCCAGGCAGCGGCGGAGGAGGTGTTGCTGGCTGCGGCTGTAGGTAGAAAGAGAGACAGATCACCACGAGGTCAGGTCTTAAATAGCGGGGGTAGGCGTGGCTTAGCAGTTGACCCCGCTCCGTGGTGTATGGCGGCGCTGGTTGACCTAGACCACGAGGCATACACTGGGGAATTGGTGGGGTCGGCTAGGCAGCGAAAACAGCGTTTGTAGGGGAGAATTCCACTACTCAGCGACAAACAGTTTAGGTGAAAGAGGTCTTACACTGCCCTAGGTAGTACACCCATGTTACTGTCACAGACGATTGGCGTGGACTACTTTTATTTTTATCCTCTTCACCACTGATGGGCACGTTAGCCGCATGGACGAGTGGTCTCGTCTCTGTTACGCACTGTAGGCAAGTACTGGGTATGCACTGGCTCCTGAATGTATCTGAACCTGCTCCAGTGCTTGCCAAGTCTGGTCTTGAAAGAGCTTGTAGTGGATACCTTCCCTACAAACGCTGTTTGTCGCTGAGTAGCCGACCCCGCGAATTCCCCAGCGCCGCCTTACATGACGGAGGTCAACTATTAAGCCACGCCTACCTCCGCTATATAAGACCTTACCTCGTGGTGACCACTCTCTTTCTACCTACACCAACCAGCAAGCAACGCCTCCTCCTCCTCCTGCCTGGCGGCCCTCGCTCCCGCCAGCGAGCATGGCGACCCACAAGCTGGTCCTCCTCTGAGCATCCTCACCAACCAGCTCTCTCTACGTCACGCTTGTAACCACGCTGCCACTTCCCAGCACCAAGCTGCACTGTACATCCAATACAATATGTATACAGAGAGCACATTGTGAGTTTCCTTTCTCCATCCCATCCTGAGTGTGAACCAAACAACTCGTACCCCACAAGCTCACACTCGGTGTCGTCACAACACTGGTATATTGTTCCAAGAGTTCACAACTCTCACTCCGAAAAAGTTACCCCTCACAGTTTTCTGGGCTTGTGGCTTGTTCAACCCCTTGTGGGGCGAACATCCGCCAGCTCCAGGTAAGGGCAGTGTTAGGGAGTTGCTGTGTGGTGAGGACCTTGTTGAGAGGAAGTCATGTCTGTTTGAAAGCGTTGGGTAGAATGGCCTTCACGACTGTTGTGTTGTTGTTGAGATTGTCGGACCGTAGTCGGACACGGGCCTTTGCCTGTAGGCAGCCCGTTTGGTGGTTCCGGCTGGAGCTCCCGGAGCAGCCAGACCGGATTTGGGATTGGGGATGGAGGTTGTCCTACCTGCAGATACGAAAGGATACTGCAGGTTTGCAAGTGTCAGCGGACCCTCGGTCAGTGAACGTTTACCACCAACCCCCACTCTTGGACGTGGTCAGTTTCGGAGTGGCGCGCCCCCCGAACTGGACTCTGCACTTGCTGGGGGAGGATACTGTAGGAGTTCGTGGTATAATGTTGTCTAGCACTCAGGATGGATGGAAACTCTAAGGTGGTTTTCTTGTATAATATAAGTTATATGATTTACAGTCTGGTGCTGGAGGTGCCGTGTGGTGAGGAGCTGCTCAGTAGAGACGTTCGGTGAGTAGCGTGTTGAAGGAGGTAGATGTGCAGGAGCTTCGTTAGAGAAGATGTTGCCTGTTGCTGGCCTCCTGGTTGAATGAATGCTGACAGCGTGGAGCTTGCTGGAGGAGGTGTTGCTTGTTCAAGAAGAGAGACCAGAATGAGAAAGCTGGTTGGTGAGGAAGCTCAGAGAAGGACAGCTGGTGGGTCGCCATGCTCGCTGGCGGGAGAGAGGACCGCCAGGCAGGCGAGGAGAAGCGAGGGCCGCCAGGTAGCGGCGGAGGAGGAGGTGTTGCGTGTTGTAGAAGAGAGGCTAGAATGAATCTCAATGGAGAGACAGAGCTTATATACCCAGCAGCCGTGAGTCCTCTATGAGTCATGTTGGGAAAACCCGAGAAAGTCGCCGGTCTTTGGTTCCGTTGCTAGGTTACCGTAACATCTGGTGTCGCATTGGAATGCAGATATGCAGTTGTAGGGGAGAAGTCCACTACAATACTTCCTAAGCTAACTGGGTGGTGGGTATCGTGTGATGACCCGGAGAAGGTGGTGAATGTGGTTTGTTTGGGCCTTTTGGGTTAGAGTGGCCGCTGGTGTTGTGTGTTCTTCTTGGAAGTTTCGAATTTTGTTTCAGAGACTTTGTGTGACTTCGCAGTCGAGGAGATAATGTTCCAGTGGTTTGGCCGCTGGCTCCTGACAGTAAGTGCATTCCCTGACGACATTTCCGATCGTCTGCCAGGTGCACTTGTACCCTAGTCTTAGTCGATGAAGGCTAACTTGGGTTTGTCTTGGTGTTTCCTTGTCCGCGAATGGTGGTTCCCCTTTTGTAGCCACCAGTTATCATTTGGCTGATTGGGAACCAGCATTGAATGCATCAAGGAAGCTCTTTTGGATGTGGAGCATGGTAGTCTTTCTGAGGTGGTTCTTGATCTGTTGCACGCTTGCTGGAACTTGAATGTGTACACTTCTAGAACATGTGGCTGCCTTGGCTGCTTCGTCTGCCATGTCATTTCCCCCGATCCCTACATGACTGGGAATCCAGTGTAAGACGACTGAGTGATTTGTCTTTGGAAGTCCTGTAGTAGTGCGAGGATCGAGGCTATGATGTGGACGTTGTCTCTTGGTTGACTGAGTTGCAGCGCCTGCATGGCCGTTTTCGAGTCCTTGTGAATTATGATGGACGTGTTTAGTTGTATTGTGTTGCAGCGTGTTGTAGGGCCTTTGAGATTGCCACCAACTCTGTTTGTAGGGTGGAGCAGTCATTAGAAAGCTTCCATAGGAGGGTCTGACCTTGGGTGTAGAAGGCCGCTCCGGATCTATGATGTTTTGAGTCCACCGAGCCGTCTGTGAAGTATGATGCTGCATCAGCGGGGGTCTCGGTGGCTATGGCTTCCTGAGTTATTATTTTGAGGTCCTCCTTCTGGAGGTTGGCTTTGCTATCACCTAGTTCGGTGATTTTGAATGTGGCTGGTGGAGGTCTCCATGGTGGTGGAACTACGTAACCATTGTCTCTTGTGTCTTGGTTGTTCTTGACGAGAGTTTCTGCTTGCAGGTGCCGGATGACCTCGCTTGCCTCGAGCGACCAGGTGGCCCCTCGCACTCTGTGGTCGAGGTGGAGGGAGGCACTGATTCGCGTTTTGGCAGCTGTGGGCTTATCTGATCTACAGAATTTGGCGAGGAGACCGGCTGTCACCTGCTTGACTCGTACTGCCAGGGGTGGCAGTTCAGTTTCCATTTGCAAATTGCAAATTCTGGTCCACATGGGTGCTCCGAGCATGGTCCTGAGAGCATTATTTTGGATGACTTCTAGCTTAGCTATCTGGTCTTCTCTCAGTCCAATGAGTGCTGGAGCACTGTAATCTACCAGCGATCTGATGGCGGCCGTGTAGTAGGCTTTGAGCACGTGTTTGTTCGCTCCTGCATTTGTGCTAGTGAGCGACCTCATTATGTTGTGTCTGCTCTTCGTCCTGTGCCTGAGATACTCGAGTTGCGACTTGAAAGTGAGTTTCTAGTCGATACAGATTCCAAGACACTGGTGGGTGTTGGTCCAGACTACTGGCGTGTTTTGTATGGAGAGCATCATGTTTGGTGTGTCTGTGCAGATGGCAATCACTTTCGACTTGGCTGGATTTATCTTGAGTCCATTGTCATGGTCACGTTGACTGCTGATCTATTTAACTAATGATTCTTATGAAACTCCACGCCCGCAAAACATGAGTGAGTTAGCGACCCCTGAGAAGACTTGTTTTTTCCCCATACACGCAACACTGGTGTTCCCTCCCAGAGTCCCGCCTTTGTGAAGACAGTTGTCAATGCGTTGTTATTCCACTTTCTCCTGGGAAGCTCTATCTTGAATTAGTCTGTGTAAATCAACTCAAGTAATTCGCCAGACCTTTGTCAACTGAGGGTCATCTTTGAATGAGTAACAGTTAGTTTGTTTGTAATTATTGTCATTGCGTGAGTAGCGATCACTGGCAACTCAGGGGTATATATACTCAAGACGAGCCAGGCAGAGCGTTCTGTGACGCTGCTCCCATATTTCTCCAGGTATGTTTTGTGTAGCCATTCAGTTA